GACCCAGTCAATCTGTGTGCCTGTTTTTTCCCTACCACGCCGGCATAGCCTGGAGAAAAGATCCAAAGCTACGCTAACTACCCGTGAATTGGCAAGTGAAGCCTGCCACTCTGCTTGAAGCAATCTTGTCTTTACCTTTTCCAGCATGCTTTCAGAGTCTGTTAAAATTACGACATGTGTATGTATCTTGTTCTCTAGCCACCGGCCAGCTGCAGTGACCGCCTCCAACTCTATTCTCAATGCTAGATGTTGTAGTAGCATATGCAGGCCTATACTGCACTAAAGATTTTCTATTGGTTTTTGCTATGAAACCCCAGGCACTTCTCTTACCTCTCAATACAGAACCATCTGTGTAGATAATCAGGATCATGTGGGTGAGAATTGTCATGAATCAATTGTTGGACTTCCAACTCCGTAGCACCCGCTGGACACTCTCTGCACTCCTGGTCCCACGTGATCATGGTCCCACATAGGTTAGACTTTTCCTCTGGTACTCTGACCCACTCCATCCCTCGCCCAGTGTTTTTCAGCAAGCATACCTCTCTTATTGTGTCTTTTGCTTGTGCTATGCGTGATTTTACACTTTTCTGTCTCTGACGCTTAACTGTCTCCAAAGATTCATACAGAGGTTGTTATTTATCTGCAGCTAATCTGAGGTATGTTTTGACAATGATGATTCCCAGGTACCGCAGTCTGCTGTCTTTCTTGATGTCCCTGCCGTTTATTTTTAACTTTGGAACATCAGCTCTAACAATCACGTTGTCCAAAGAACACTGCAGGCTGGTTGCCTTTTCTGGGATGATTACAGCATGCATCCCTGTACACCAGTCGAACACCTTACCTACTGTCGTCTGTAACTCGAGAAATTCATCTGCGAATGTCAATATTTTACCAACTACAGGCGTTTCTAGTTCCACAATCTTGCTCGTAAGCACACTGAACAGCACAGGTGAAGATAATATTTGAAATCAGTATCATATTTGAAATCAGGAGCATGACTGCAGTCCAGAAGTGGACGAACAACCGGAACTTTACGCCAGAGTGTACAGCTGGTGAACACAAAGAAGAAGAAGAAGTATGTCAAAATCAATCGGAAATTATGATTAACTGAAGTCAAGAATGGATTGCAACACTAAACACTGACAGGTAATGCGGGTGTTCAAGGAAACGATCGTGCAGACTATTTTGCTGACACTGCGGTTGCTTTAATTGGCCCAGTACTGGACAGACGTGATGTTATCAATGCCATACGATGCACTTACTTTACCGAGGAGCACGCCAAAGGCCATGACTACGTTTCCCTATCTAGACTGATGGACATTGGGGTGTAGCCTGGAGCTGCAAGAAATGAACATTTTACTAAAGAAGACAAGACGGTTCATTAACCAGCACAGAACAGGCGTCATCAGTCTGTTTTACACTTGTGGAGCTTTTCATGAGGAGTTTGGATTACTTTTGGATCTGTCCAGAGTGACTGTGATGATAATCCTAATCACTAATCACTGGTTGAACTCCACCTTCTCTTCCAAGAACCATGTAATTATAAACGTTTGCTTGCTTCATAAACATAAACTATTCGTAGGTAACTATACTTTGGAAACTGTAAGCTTCATGTTTCGGTTACCTTATGTACTTTTGACAACTTTCCACTTTCTGCCTCGACCTTCTCCCCAGAAATGACATCGTCAGAATTTAAGTAACGCTTAACCATGTCAAGTAGAGATTATGTTGCTATAAATGTCTTTTACATAAGCTATCTGTCTGGCTGTTAGTACGATATGATCTAATTTAACATTCCTAAAGGAACTGTTGTACTGTTGCTATGCAAGCACATTTTGTACGCAAAGTTAATCTTAATAATACTGTTAGGGGGTCTGCCTGGCAACGTGTTCAAGTCGGTTGCCTTTCGCTATGGAGGGGGTGGGTTCGGTTCACGGTAGAGACTCATGGGGATTGTGGGCGGAGCTACAGAGTTCGTTCCTTGTACAAAACCCTTAGCAAGCGGCAAGCCCCTCTGCCTAAAAATACCGAGGCATACGGTATAAAACTCGGTGCCATGAAGGAGATCATGCAGTCTTTGACTGTAAAGCATACAAGCAATGCTGAATAATTTGAAAGCTGTAAGAGAAGTAGCGCTACTGCTGGAATCAGTTTAGTTACTCGATAAATCGCCCTTGCTGCACATCGAACCACTCAGTCAAATAGTGCTCGGATTCTCTCCTTTGTAAATTAATCAGTGTGTAGCAGCTGACTCCGTAAGTTATATCATCGTCATCATCATCATAAACCACTCATGTCGTTAAGCGGCGTAGGGAGCATTAGATTGCGATCCAGTGCACGCTTGCTGCCACTGGCTTTTGTCATTCCGTGAAGGCGTGAAGTCTCTTTAATGTTGTCGATCCATAGGTATCCCAGCCTTCCTCTTTCTCTTGTAGCTGATCTTCTGAGATGTACTGCTTATGGTGGTATTTGATTTTGCTTCATTCTAACGAGATGGCCAAACCACTTGATCTGCTGTTTTTCTACAAATCTAATACAAAGGTGTCATTCCCACAATTTGTCTGATGTGTTGTTATTCACTCAATTTTGGATGGTTAAGTTGGCTGCCTTTCTCTTCGCAGTAATGTGTTCGTTTATTAATTTTCTTTGTCCTCCCATTTATCTCTCAATGAGCAGTGGAGACGATTTTTAGACACAGTTTATTTTAACAATGCTCTGACCAGTAAAACGTGCAATTCTATTTTCCCCCCAGAATGTCATCATCATAATTATCATCATCATCATGTAATGCTGTTGTGCTTAGGGCCCCATTCCTTTCATCATGTGAAATCTTTTCAAAATCATCAATGCAATCTAATCTAGCACCTTCGGCTTCTCTAGGTAACTTTCGTCTCAGGGTTCGCTTGGATGTCTTTGTTACATCAATTCATTTTTTTAAGTGCTTGATCAGCGATTCTTTGCTGTTTTTTTTTTTTTTTTTTTGGCGGGAGGTGTGCTCATTATCTTGCCATATTTGGGAAGAAAAGCAGAAGGCATGGTACCAGGAAGGAGGGTCAGGTGCCCGCCAGCACGAACATGGGCACAGGGTATAAGTAGCTCCTTGAGTATGAAAGTGTATGAGGCGGAAGATCTGGGGATAGACTGAGTTTCTTTTAGGCAGACCGTAAAGAGAGCGATGCTCTGCAAAGGCCATACTACATGATGATGATGATCTTATCATATCCGTTTTCTTCTAACTGTTGATTCAAACTGTTGTTCATACAATTTTTCTATATCATAAGATCAGATTTTTGAATCGTGATCCTCTATAGACAGACAGACAGACAACACACAGACAGACAAACAGACACACGGACGGACGGACGGACGGACGGACGGACAGACAGACGGACGGACAGACAGACAGACAGACAGACAGAGGACAGACAGACGGACAGACAGACGGACAGACAGACAGACAGACAGACAGACAGACAGACAGACAGACAGACAGACAGACAGACAGACAGACAGACAGACAGACAGACAGACAGACAGACAGACAGACAGACAGACAGACAGACAGACAGACAGACAGACAGACAGCTGGAGGATTAAGAGACACATGCGCATAAATCATGAAGGTGTTGCCAAGTTTCCACATCACCAAAGTGATAAATAGGGTCTTGCATGGTTTCGAAGCATGGTGTCCGTCTCGGGTGCTAAAGGTTCCGTGTTCAATCCCCGGTAAGGGCTGGGATTTTGTCACGCATACTTTGACTTCTAGTAATTCGCCGTGGTCTCTGGGTTGTTAGATTGGGCGCCCGTGTGCATTGTTGCGCACGTAATAATTCATTGGAAGTTAAAAATCGTAAAGAGTAGTCTAATGGAGCTGCCGTTGAAAATGTACCAAATGTATTTCAGGATCCTAGCCGGTAATACAGAGCGTGTGCACTATGCTGAGCTTCTTAGGACTCAGACTTGAGCTAGAAGAAGAACTGAGCACTAATGGGTTACATCCGTGTGCCGTGATGTTGATTTTTCTTTAGATGTAAATCTAACCATGCGAATGGTTCAAAACCTCAAAAAGCAACATAAATAGTATCGGGAAGCTTTTACCCTGTCTGACGCACAAGTAACGAATATATTAAGATTCAAAAAATAATGTCGTACTTCCCAAAGTTCCTATCTTCTTACAGTTATCATCGAAATCACATTTGGACGAACTGAAGATAGGTTGAGAGCTGAGTGTCTGAGAAGAAAGAATACTGAATAGATGTGATGGCAACAAAGGTCATGATACCGGTTGCTCTAATTGTGGAAAAGTGTTCTGAACCCCGGCGGGTCTTGCAAGTCACACTCGCCATGGCCGTAGCTTGCAATTTTCATGCCTGTCTATTGCACAATAACGAATTATCGTCTAGAAACACGGAAAGCTGCCTACAGCAAACTAGAGCTGCTAGGTAAACATAGCCTTAAACGCTTACCAGCAAATGTCATGGAAAGTAAAGGCAAGTAGCTTGATTTTGACCAAATTATCTACAGACTGGCAACCGTTCTAAAACAATATGGGTCTATCATCATATGCCTGAAGTTGGATAAACAGGATTTAGTCATGTCATATCAAATTATTCACCTATTGTGACATGCTGGTAGATTACAGAATTAATAATAAGTGTGTATTTTGTTGGCCTTGGTAAAACATAGATGTTTATATTCGTCCTAAGCCACAAAATGTGTGGGTTGAAATCCTCGGTGCGGATAATATATTTGCCTTTATGATTACTTCTTGCAGCAGGGAGGCGAAATAATTTATAGGAGCCCTAAGATCTTAGGTGAAGCTAATGAGTCATTCTCCCTTTTTCCATGTACTCTCTGTTGTTGAAAGATAGAGCCCTAAGTGGCAAAACTTAATACAGGAAGTCAACTATTTCCTCTTTAAATATAATCCCCCCCCCCCCCACCCACACCCCCCCCCCCACACTATATTTTTCTCAATTGAAACATACTTTCTTTTTCAGCCACGTCTGCGGTAGTTCCATGTGGTTCATGTCTGACAATGGAACCCACATAGATACAGACGCCGATTGGCTGCCAACTCTAGTGTGTACGAATGGAGAGGTTTGTCAGTCTACACTCTGCTTTTAATTTTTCTTAAAGAATTGTGTCATTGTAAGACTGGACACCTCATCTCGTAGAAAACTTTAGAATGTAAATCTAACCATGCGAATGGAAAAGATAAAGAAGAAAAAGAAGAAGAAGAAGAAGAAGAAGAGAAGAAGAAGAAGAGAAGAAGAAAAAGAAGAAGAAGAAGAAGAAGAAGAAGAAGAAGAAGAAGAAAGAGAAGAAGAAAAGAAGAAGAAGAAGAGAAAGAAGAATAATCAAAGAAGAAGAAGAGAAGAAGAGAGAAGAAGGAGAAGAAGAAGAAGAAGAAGAAGAAGAAGAAGAAGAAGAAGAAGCAGAAGCAGAAGAAGAAGAAGATTAGGAAAAGGATGATTATGATTATGATGATGATGATGATTATGATGATGATGATGATGACGACGATGATAATAATCAAAAAGAGGAAGCGAAATAATAAAATAAAGAGACAGAAGCACATGATGATGATGATGAAAAGGAGAATCAACTTCAGCAGCAGAAGGAATCAAGAGGAAAGGAGGTGAGGATGGGGGGGGGGGGGGGGGAGAAAAATTAGTATTTTTGTAAAAGTCTTAAAACAGCTTCTCTAGTACAGGTCCTCTCTGCTTGGTACTACGACAGTTTGTGTAGCCTTCTCTAATATGCTGCAATCACAGACACTGTTTTTGGTCGCCTGACTCTCTCCGGGCTCAAAGTTCTGCATGCAAAGTCAATTCTCAAAGTACAGTAGCTACAGAAAAAAGCACTTCCTGCATGGAGTCTTAGGTTAGTGGTTCTCATCTTGGGATTGGCGACCGATTTTTTAATCAAACGACGCTTTCACAGGGGTCGCCTAAGACCATCGGAGAACATATATTCATTGAAGTTATGAAGTAGTAACGAAAATAATTGTATGTCTGTGGATCGCCACAGCATGAGGAACTGTATTAAAGGGTCGCTGCATTAGGAAGGTTGAGCATCACTGTCCTAGGTGGAGCTACAGGCTACAGACTGCAGAGAAAAAGGTCTTGTATGACGCAAGCTGACACAATTTGGACTAGTACAGGACTGGGTCAAAGTGTCCATGCAAGAATCAGACGTGTGAATGGTTCATATCACAATAGGCCGTGAGGACGTGGGCTGGCTACAGAATGAAAAGTTAAACAAATGATTCATGACAAGTCCCTCCTAAGTAATGACTGACTGACTTTCTACCCCACCAGGACATCACACAAGCGATAAACACCAGATGACACAAAGTGCCACAATGCGGATGAGGATCACCGTGGAGAGGTCCCAGAAACCGCGTTCAGACAATTGGCCATATTGATGGCCTGCCTATATTGCGGCCCCTGGCAAAAGCCAGAGTGGGGCTTCAAATAACAAAAAATTACGTCCTAAGAAGGACGTAAGGAATAATATCTCCTATGTGATGTGATTTTTTAAACAGGTGTCTTTGTGTTGTGGGGCAGACGCAGTGCTTAGGGGTTCATGGCAAAAGCGAATAGACGTTTCTAAGTGAAACAAAATCTGATTCCACAACGTCTAGTTTGAAAATAGAGGAGGCAGCCACTTCTGTTGACTTGAGAACAGCTGTACGTACTTGTCATAATTGTAACTGACTAACAGAACATGTTGAGAAAGGCGGAGAAAGGCATGCTCCGTGCAGGGTGGCAATCGTCGCATCAGAGGTGCAGGGTAGTTATCGTTCTTTGGATTTTTTCTCAAAGTTATGCGAGTGTGTTGGGATCTAACAGGCAGATAGACTAGCGAGTTCTGCATCACGTGGTTGTGAACTTATGTATTACAAGATAGATATTGTAAGGGTCTTTAGGGAGAGTGAACAATAGCGAGGCAAACATAGATCATTACGGTCTATGAGAAGGAAGCTGCTTTTATGATCACATTAAATTCAAGAAGTAAATTCAATTTACAAATTAAGAAATATTTTGCAATAAAAATAATAATGACCTTAATGCAACTGAAAATAAGAAAAATATTAGATGATACAATACTTAGACTTAAATTTTTGCTTTTTTTTCCTCTTTTGATTTCTTGAAAGGGAAATTGTTAATGTCTCCAGATGATATGCTAATCAGCTTTTCCCTATCTCTACACGTTGCGATCTGCAGACAAGCTTGCATCGAATGGTTGATCTCAATATGCATATTATCTCTATAATTATACAAAATTATTTGTTCTCCTGAACAATTTGTTCCTTTCAGACAAAAATCTGAACAAATTATTGTTTCACCTTTGGATTGTTAGGCCTATGGTCATAGGTATGCTTAACAATTTTTGTGCCGTCTTCACAAAGAAGGTCAGCTGTCTATGGGATTGTTATCTGGTGAGGCTCTAATCCTTTCCACGATACAACACAAGCATTCTTTTCCGAAACACATGAAGACGATCTTTTTTTTTAAAAATAAACTCTCCGCCCAGGAAACCCAACCCTGGTACGCGATCAAGGTCAGGACATTATTAAATGCACACACTAAACTCTAAGCCACACAGACATACGGTAGGTTATTTCAAACTTAGTTGCGTATCTTTTACAGGACGTTGCAGAACCAACCCCAGCATTTATTGGCTGTCTGTGGCTTAGGCGTTGCCAGTGTGATTCGTAATTATGTGGTGCCGGGTTCGATCTCAGCTGCGTGTGATTTGGCGACAGACAGCGTCACATTCCTTTCAGCCGGGTATCTAGAGCCGACCGTCGAGGGCAATAGCAAACTATTGAACGTAAAATAGCCTAGTGAAATTACAGTTGGCTACAAAGGGCTGGGATTGATTCCACAATAGTGGATACGAAACTAACATTTTTTCGTGTGTGGATGATTTTACTGAACACTTATACGTTCAGTAGTTTGCTATTGCTACCAAACCAATTGTTTCATCCCTCCCTATACCACTATGAAACTAACGCAAAGCGGTCTACTGCCAGACAGTAGCATGGAAAGGGGGTTCGGGCAACCCCAGATGTTGTCACTAAGAGTGGGAAAGGGGTGACACAATGGCTAAAGTATGCATTTTAAAATTATATTGTGTAGGTAGGAGCTGGGTAAGTTAGAAGAGGTGTGACAGTAAGCTTTCCCTACCGGGTACATATAACCTTGCTACGCCCCTGCTGCCAAATCACCCACAGTTGAATCGAATGGGTATCTCTGAATTATAAAGCTATAAAACTCCAAAGCCACAGACGCTGAGGCTGGTATTTTGAAGACAAATAAAAGCTAGAATTCTGTCGAGGGAACTGGAACTTCATAGGCGAGCAAGTCGCCCATTGGTTGGCCAGTAAACGACTTCGTCGACGGTGATGGCAGTATTTGGATCTGTCTCCTTTGATCATATCAACACTGCAAGAGTCTTTTTCAGGGCTACTTGGTGGCGAGCGATGTTAGGCCACTTTATGTGGCGCAAATAATCTAAGTCACAATTATACCCAAATCTCCGCCCCCCCCCCCCCCTTTTTTCTGCTTTTCTTCGAGGACGCTGGTTGAACGTGACGATGTTTCCCCCGCCAAACAAGGTAAGGCAAGAAAAACCGGAAACTTTTCTGGCAGGTTGCGATGTAAGCAACGGTTTACAACAGTGATTTCCAAACTGTGCACCGCGGCGCCCCGGGGAGCCGCGAACCCTTCGCAGGAGCTCAGCGAATTATTGTAAAAGCTTCATAATTAATTTAACTAAGACACGACTAGTCACACTTTTACTTAGGTTAGGGCGCCGTGGAAAAAATTTGTAATTGAAAAAAAAAAGGCGCCGCGACCAAGAAAAGTTTGGGAAACACTGGTCTACAAAGTACCTGATGCACCATGATGATGATGTATGTTTATGTTTGCCGTCAAGTGAAAAATGCCGGAACGTATTCAGTGGGCAAACAAACAAGAGGTTTATGTCATTGTGACGGAATAAACCAAGGCTTTTCTGTTTCATACGTGATGGATCTGTCGTTGTAAACTCTTTGTGTACAAAGCAACTATACTCCGGTCCAAAAGTCGTGCCGGAAACTAACATCTCGAAAACTCAAACAAGGTCCGACAATTATAGCCAAGATAAAAAATACCATCTATAAAGCAAAGCATGGAATCTAAAGAGGCAACATTTATCTATGATCTGGCAACTTTTCATCGCCGCTCGATAAGCAGACAACAAACAAGCCGCCATATTGTTGACGAAGTCAGAGGTGCATTGTTACCTAATCAGCACGGAGCAAAAAGCTAACATTAAATTCTTTTCAAAACTCAGAAAAGCTTAATTGAAACAGTTCAATGGATGCAACAAGTTTATGAGGATAGTTGTTTATCTCGCGCACAAATTTTCAGGTGGTATTCACAATTCAAAAGTGGTGTGGAAATGATTACTAATTCACCTATACATAGACGCCAAATTTATGTCCGTAATGATGAACTCATTGCAAAAGTCAGAGAACGGATACAAAAAGATTATTGTTTTACTGTTACGATGATAGCAGATGAATCTGGTGGTAATAGAGAGACCATTCATAACATTTTAGTGCAAGATTAGGACATGAAAAATGTTGCTTGCCTGTTTGTACCACATTCGTTGTCTGATGACCAAAAATATATCAGGGGGTTGAGTACCTAGGAGACATCATCAAAACAAAAATTTTTGGACCAATAACAAGTGTGTGTTCTCAGCCTTGCACCCTTTTTCCCAGGTTTGTCTCCCTGTGATTATTTTCTCTTCCCAAAATTAAAGTTTCGATCGAAAGGATGCTGTTTTTTTTAAAAACGATTTTGATGACACCCGAAGGGCCGTAACATGGACTTTAAGGGTCATAACAACAGAAGAACTACAGAGGTCGTTCCAGTGTTTGTTAGATCGTGCCACTTGCTGTATTAATGCACAAGGGGCTTAACTTAAATTTAAAAAAAAAAGGTTATGTCTTCAACTGTTGCTTATTTTAATTTTTATGGAATTAGTCTCATTACCCTAATTGTCTGACCTTGTATATATATATTATATATAGATATTATATATATATATATATATATATATATATATATATAATATATATATATACGAGTGTGTGTGTGCGTGAGAGTGTGTGTGATTTTATGTGTTTATTATATCTATATGAATAATTATATTATGTACTCTCACATTCGCCGTGTTGTTAACTTTGCTCTTTCTGTCCTGTGGTCTTTTTCTTATTGTTTAAAAAAAGAAACAAATTTTCACCGGTGAATGAAACGACACAATCCGCAAAATGAACTAAAATACTTCACAGCGTGAGGCAACCAGCTTTACCAATTAATAACCATCGAGACTTTCGCAGACCCCAAACATAGCAGAGTAATCTCTGTTTCTCCTGTAGTACTTGTGAGGTCAGTGTTACGTGTGCATTTTCATGGTTGTACGTCCTGTATCTTGTGTATGACTGCTATCTTGACATCAACACAGTAATATGGGCGGCTGCTGCACAAGTCCCTTATGGATGGCGTGCATCCCCCAGGCAAGGTAAATCAGCCTACCAGGCTGCAGAGGCAGAGAAACAGAGGCAGAATAGAAATAACCGTTTCGCTAATCCCATACTTACTGCAGATTCCACCTGTTGTCTGCACTGCTCAAGAACTTTCCGGGCTCACTTTGGACTAATCAGCCACCTTCGTACCCATAATAAATGATCATTACTACTTTGTAGGAAACGTGGTCTTCATCACTTGTGATAGACGAACAACAACATACCCAAGACAAAGGACGCACAACCCTGTTGATGGTCACGTTGCGCAGTGCAATGTATGGTACATTTTGCTGTAATCCATCAGGTGCATTATTTAATATATTACATTTAGAAATGTAAAACGAATTGTCCTCACAGCAAAGTCCACTCCTACAACAACTATATGTTTATATAACTTTAAAGCATTGAATCTAACGAGATACAGTAAAATATATCAGACAATATTTTGCGAAATTGTATCTGTCTGTGTTTACATTATTTATACCCACAAGGTTGCCCGGCTCTCTAGCGTAGTTGGCTAAACCTGATTGCGCAGTGAGCGGGTGAGGAACTCCTTGTGGTCTGGGTTCACTCCTGGGGGTATGCAGAAAAGCCACATTTTCTCCTAGATTTACGGTATTTACAATAGAATCAAGGCTGAAAGGTTGCGATATCCATAACACCGAGCCTAAGGGTTAACAACTCATGGCTTCTGAATACTAAAACAAGCAAAACAAACATACCCACAAGGTAAACATAAGTTAGAAGTTAACTATTTTTTTTTGGCGCCTATTTTCGTTTCAGGTGAGTCGCCTTAATTATTCTTCGGCCAGCTGGAATGTAGTTATCGGTCAACAAGATCTTCCCCTGGACGGGGAGGTCTGGTGGTACACTAAACCGACCCACTGCAGCGAGGATCCCATATATTCTCAGTTTGTTGACGGGTCACAAGCCGCTGGTTCTTTGTCTAAGGTAAGCTTTTCTCCCAGGATATCCTTATATATATATATATATATATATATATATAATATATATATATATATATATATATATATATATATATATATATATATATATTTCAATCGTTACTTTCAGTCAAGATAGGCAGGGTCACTGTAATCGTGGCATGTTTTGCGTCTAGCCGTTGCATTTTCTCTATATGCAGGTCAAAATGATATGGTCCCTTCGCCTATCTTCTGAGCTGAGTGCATGGCACAACACTGAGGGCTGCGGATTTCATTTTGAATGCTTTTCGACTGTTCCCTAAGTGGTTTGCGCTGTGAACTGCAGAATCAAAAATGCGAAGTGGCATGTTGCCACAAAATTGGTGGTGCTGTCGGCAATTAAATGCCTGCGCAATTACTGAATTCGTACAACTGCTGCTTCAATCGACGATGAACTGCATTTCTAGTGTCAGATTGTTTGTATTGGCATTTCTAGCGGCTGCCTTAAGCATTTAATGCCTTTGTGTTCTATTGACTTTGCTGAGACTGCAGTCAGGTAAATTTTTTTTCCACAAGGGAACGTGATGGACAATATTTGTGCTTTTTCTTAGCACAGGAACGGAGCAGCTGTATGGTGACCCGTTTGCTATGAAGCTAGAACTGCGATTACCTAACGACTTGACACCAACGTGGTGGTGTGAATTGTAGATTCAGAAAATGGTGCGATGCCTGTCGTCGCAATGTTGGTGGTGCCCGTATGTGATTACAATTGATCGCATGGGCGACTGCTGAATCTGTTGTTGACTTCTGCTACCATCAACGATGAACTGCATTTCTAATGTCGGACTGTTTGTGTTAGCACTACCGTATGCCTTAATGCGTGTGTATGCTAGATAAGCTGAGACAGCAGTCTGTAAATCTTTCCACAAGGGACTGTGATAAACATTCTGTCTGTTTTTCGTAAGCACGGGAGCGGAGCAAAGATGGGGTGACCCGTTTGATATGAAGCTGAAACTAAGACTACCAGACCAGACTTGACATTATCTTTAATAAATCTCAAAGTGTTTTTCACGGTTCGACCGAATATTTCGGAAATTTTGCCCCAACAATTACAACCTTTGCTGTTAATGCTGTATGTTGCTGTCGATTTGAGCTATTTCTTTTTTTCCAGGTTTCGTTTTCGGCAGTGGATTTTTTTTTTTTTTTAAAGATTTCTCATAGCAATCGGACAATGGTATGAGAATCGCACGTTAACTCTTTGAGTCCCAGGGGGTTTAGCATCACAGGCCCAGGGGGTATTGAAGAAATTAATAAAATCGGCGCATCATGCGTTCATTGGGCTTCTAGGTAGGAACCTATGAACGTATGATGCGTTCCTTGGGACTCAAAGAGTTAAGCGAGTGGGACCTTACCGCGTAATATCTCAAAGGCAGTCCAGGGGAAGATCTTGTTGACCGATAACTACATTCCAGCTGGCCGAAGACAACATATATTTTTTTTTAATTTATGTACCTTTTTTTTAGGATAACTTTGACATTTACAAGGTGAAAAGCTATAAGGTTGATTAGTTTCTGTTTTGTTCATGTTTGTTAATAGATATATATTGACACACACACACACACACACACACACACACACACACAATAATATATATATATATATATATATATATATATATATATATATATATATATATATATACATGTATAAAATGTGTCCCCATAAAAGGCACACGGATAACATCAGATGAAAGAGGTATTACTGAGATAAGAAACAGAATAGGACAGGCAAAAACTGCATTATATAAAATTAAGAACATCTTATGCAGTATATCTTTGTCATTGAGGGTTAGGAAAAGAATTCTTGCTTGCTATATACATCCAGTTTTCACATATGGCTGTGAGCCCTGGACAATCGGTAGGCAGACCAAACAATTTTTTTGAGGCCTCAGCGATGTGATTTTACAGAAGAATGCATAAAATACCTTGGACAGCCAAAACGAGCAACTAAGAGGTTTTGAAAGAGGCGGGACCCCGAAAACAACGCATCACAGACATCATTAGGAGACAGTCATCATTTTTCAACCATTTTATAAGAAGAGGGAAAAATTGAACATGTTGTGACCGCCGGAAAGATCTGTGGAAAGAGGGATAGATGAAGACAACAAGAGAAGATTCTTGACAGTCTTGTTGCATGGCATTGAGGTGTGTCAGTACACGAACTAACGCATGCTGCAGGATTTTGCAGACTGCAGAGAGGCATGATCGCCCATGCTAGTTGGTAAGGCACCTGATGACGATCATGTGAGTGATGGGTCCATAAAGAATACTTAGTACATTTTTGGGAGACACCCTGATACACACAGGCACACGCATACACACAAACACACACACACACACACACAAACACATATACACACACACACACACACACCACATTGAGAGTCATATTTTAAGTCTCCACCAAGGCGAAATTGTAACAAATGTCTTGACCTCCATACCCACCAAGCCTAAACGTGGATGACAGAAAGTAATCTAGGGTCTGAAAGAGGCTTATGTTGATCACAGAATGTGCAGATGTGTAGAACAATGTGAGGCCAGCATCAAATACCCACATGCCTCAAGATTAGAGACAAATCTTTTACTTTTGTGTTCTTTAAATGACCATTACCTGATTAAAAGAGCAGCTGCTGCAGTATTTAAAGTGCTGGGATTTCACACAGGATACCCTGGTGTGATCATCGGTAAGGGATGGGGATTGTTTTCTGTCAGCGTCAAAAATAAAAATCGATAGCTGCAAAGTTCGTGGCGAGTACACAAGCTATGTGGCCTCGAATTCCCAGGCTTACGTTGATCTTCACACCACGTCTCTCTAACGATAAAAGGGTAGATAAGGCAATATAAGTACCTCTTTTTATCTGATAAACGTATAGATCTGTATTTGCTGGTCTCTTTCAGCACTTCTTTCTCTTTATCGTCTTCTGTTCTTTATTCTCCCTTTGAAACAAAAAGAGTAGCTAAATTTCTTTACATCGCGTTGGGGCTTCGTGGTCTCGAGGCATGGTGTCCGCCTCAAGTGCTAGAGGTTCTGGGTTCAATCCCTGCTACGGGATGGGATTTTTTTCACGTGGACTTGGATTTATAGTTCTGGTCTTTGCTTTGTGAGATCGGACGCCCGTGTGCATTGTTGCGCACGTAAAATATCCCTTGGCAGTTGGAAATCGAAAAGAGTAGCCTAACGGGCTAAAATTTGGAGTTAAAAATCGAAAGTATTTCAGGATCGTCGCTGATGCTACTGAGCCTGTGCACTGTGCTGAGCTTCTTTGGACTTAGGTTAGAAAAAGAACAGAGCACTTATAGGTTACTATTCGTGTGCCATGATGTTGATCTGTTCTTCAAACCTCAATCCTTGCATTGTGTGTAGATGTGACACATTTCCTCTCCATATTTTACTTCACTGTCTAACCGCCTTAACCTGTGTTTACAACTGCATATTTATTACTGGCAGCTGATGACACTTGCCAAGATGTCAGAACTGAGGGCCAACATGAGGGACAGAGGCTACTCCTTTGTCTTGCAGAATCAAAAGATTTACAACAACGAACTGTTATCCGCCCAAAGCATTAATCACATAAGTCTGCGCTACACTCAAGAATCTGTCAAGGTAAATTATCGGATCTTGTATTTTTTTTTTTTTTTTTTATTCATTCGTTGCTCAAAACAAACAAAGCAAGAAAACAAAATTGATCGATTGAGTGACGTACGACCCCACCAGGAGATGACACCGAGCGATAAACACCCGATGACACAAAGTGCCACCATTCAGATGAGGATCGCCCGAGAACAGGTCCCATAAACCTGTTTCAACCCACAGTTTGGGTTATATTAAAGCGCCTCGCAACAGACAGCGTGTGGTTTTAAAACAATAAAATTTAGCGTTTAACACTAGGACGCAAGCATAATTATGAAGCAAAAAAAAAAAAAAACCTGCAGTAAAGGCATTTAGAGAGCGAGCTCAAATATTATTATATTGCAAAATGACTTTTTGAGTACCTTTGTGACTGGGTATTTACAACAGTCATAATGTCTGCATATTTATACGTTCAGTGTATATTTGATCGGTAAATTTTGTCAAAGGAAGAAGATAGTGATGGCTTTGACACGTTTGCAGTATACCTTATTTTGGTTTGGTAGCTACACTCTCAGATAAACGGCAGCTGGACAAGAAGACCTAGGCGACCAAAGGAAACTTGGAGGACAATAGAAAAGAAATGACGGAGCGCTTATGGAATGTCCCGTGCCCTGTGAATTCATTTGTGTGCCTCCACCTATGTTGATTTTATTAACTCTTACTAATGTGCACGACGAGATACAGCGAAACATGCCAGGAAATGAATATTATATTTTCACCTTTCCGTCTTTCAAGATGATAGTGTTAAATTGTGCTATAAAGAGGCTTGGGACTCACAGCCCACGGCGATGGCGAGTGTGACTAGCAGGACACGTACGCGTTTACGAAAAAAAAGTCTTTCACTTTATAGCCATACTTTCTGAAATCATTTCTATCTTGATTTTTACCCCCTTCCTAACGGCCACCCCCACACCACAAAGTGGCCTTCTCCCCCTCCCCCCCCCCCTTCCACAACGAGTCCACTTCAGTACCTGTATCATTCATGTCCTGTTTGCACACATCTTTATATTGTAGTAGAGGTTGGCCTCATCATACTCTAGCCATCTAATTCACTATAGAGGATGTTCTCAGGGACTCTGCCATCATCCATTCTCTGAGTGTGACCCAACTACCTGAGTGAATAAATGAATCAAGAGTTCACATCGCTGCACTCGGGACATTCCTTCATGTGCTCCATCTTCTTATTCAGTAGACACTAAAGAATATTTGTCTGCCTTTCTAACCCCCAAGGGAGTAAAAGGCCTCAACCAGCTGACGATAAGTCGTTCTATCCTTCGCTATCGCATGCAACTTTTCCCATGTCCTTTCGTCTTTTTTAATTTCACTCTCTAGCTCCGTTCTCCTTGTTTTTTTTTTTTTTTTATCTTGCTTTATTTTTCGTATGCCCCTGAGGGTTCCAGTGAAAAGACGTTCTAGTTATCTCAACGTGTCCTATCCAACGCCAGCATCTTTTATTCACCTCTTAGTCTACTGGAACTTGTTTTGTTCTTTCTCAAAGCTCTACATTAGTGATTCTATTACACCATTTAATTCCCTCTGTTATGCACAGGTACCAGTTAATGAATGTTTGTAGTTTATTTGTAACTTCCTTAGTTGATCTCCAGGTTTCCGCTCCATACAACAGTACTAATTTAACATTATAATTTAAAATTGTTAGTATAATGGAGAGTCTTTCATGAGGTAAAGCTAATAAATACATATGAAATAAAAGCATGTTTGTGACAGGGATGTTCTTTGTCGCGTCTCCTATTTTATTTTATTTTTTATTTTTTTTGGGCAATAAATTAGATTAAGAAAACAGCAAATGCTAATACCTAGAATGGAAATGACAGGACCCTACAAAACAGCTGGACGATCTGGACCGCTGATAATATTTATCTAAAAATGAAAAACATGTCAGGCAATGAATCTTGCAACGCATTGATTGTGTCCGTATTATTTAATATACGTTAACCGGTTAAACAACGCATAATATTTTTTCAAATATAAACTATAGTTCAATGATGACCCCTACTACTCGTGGCTTGCTGTGTGGTCAACCAATGGACGCAGAGATGTGTCCAGGTGGTTCTTGGAGAACACAACCTTGCACAGACACAACAACGACTTCGTATCCTTGGATTGGTATGGGGATGAATGCTGGCGGAAAGTGTTTTCAGCGGACAACTTTGGCTTCGCTGTCTATGGGTCTTTGAATGAACTGATTCAAATGATCAAACTGGGCCACAGAGTAAGTATAATCTATGTCATTCTCCAACTCCCGTGCATCTCTGTCTGTGTTTTCCTCCTGTACTTGTCTTCTTCTCATTATTAGTATAAACGTTAGTTGCGTATCCTTTAGAGGGCGTTGTGGAACCAACCCAAGCATTATTTGTATGTTGGTTTTACTAGACAATTTTACCTTCGACTATCCATAGTATTATCAGAATCAAAGCAAGGCAGTCTACTACCAAATCGTCGCCGCTGAAGTCAAACTGAGTACCTCAGAATTACGAAACGTGTTTCGCAACACATAGGCCACAGTCTCAAACCATCAGTACACAGTTATGTCCCCCCATATTCCAATTTGCTTTACTACCTGCATTTATCTTGTCTCATCTGCTCATGTGTCTATATAAATTACTTTTATGAATGTATGTGCCTCGGCATTTACGTCCATCTGTAGCTTTGTTGTGTGTGGAATCTTTTAATGAGCTTATGCACATTCTTAAATAAGGACAACGAGACATTAACATACATGCTTGGATATGACTACTTAGCTCCCTCGCAAATTTACTGGGGGAGGGGGAATTGCCCCTTCGCTAAAGCTTTTGGTTGTGAAAAGAATGGTTGAGGGGGGGGGGGGGTTTGGCAAGGTGCCTGAAATCAGCCAAGTACAGGCGTCACTTTTTGTAGACTTGGTCGCTGATTGAGAGGTTAAAATAGGCAGCATATAACAATACCTCATGGTAAAAGATGGAATCGCTGCCCTTTGACATCAATTACACGTTAAATAAGTAAGATGTACAAGAAAGATAATACAGTGTCAAATTTTAGAGCCGCCGACACACAGAAAACATTGGATGGCTCAGCAATCTTTCAGATTGTCTGAGGGAAAGGAGTGGTTGTGGGGAAAGGGGGAGGTGTTTTATTGTCGAATAACACTAGGGGGTGTTGTAAACAATTGTGGTTGAGAGAAGGCAGGGTGTGGGGACAAAAAGGGGTGGAGGGCTGCGGGTAAAGGCGGTGGTCTCACGTTACCTAAGCCTTCAAGTTCTAGTACCCATGCTTCTATAAATGGTGTGTGTGTTGTTAAGGGGTGTTGGTGACCCCTTCGTCCCCTTACTAATGTTTGTATTAAGCGTAAGACATAGACCAAGACTGACTTCATTTTTATTCTCAGAAAATAAATTGTTAAACCATGACAAAGCAGATTTTAATGATTTGGATGGATATTATCGTAATATTTGATTTCATATTATTCAGTATAAGTTGTTACAGAAAGTATAATATCAGTACACTATGCTTCGTTCCCAATATTGACCACCTCTGTCTATTGATCAGTGTGCTACTTACTGTCTTTGCGTGATCTTTTATTGATGCTAGATCTATCAGCCTAAAATGGTTTCACATCATTTACCTGTATTTTCATTTCTCAGTCTTTTATAATATGCAGTGCGAGCATTTCCTTTGTTTTGCTTGTATCGTATAAATAGTTTCATTTTAGTTTTGTTGAAAGTACATG